CCCCAAAACCCCAAAACCCCAAAACCCCAGTTGGAGGAGTTAAGTTGGGGATGAGGAGATTATAAATAAAATATGGAATATCGTTTAAGGAGTCCTGATAATAATTTCTCAGTGACGAGAGATACAGATGATTTTATGAGTTGTGAGGGGGGTTTAGTGAATGATGCGGATTTTTCGGCTAAGATTCGAGCGGTTTTGAAGGCTAAGAGGGAGTAAGCGGTCTTTTAGGGGGTTGCAAGGTTTGGAGGATGGTTTTTAAAATGATATAGGAAAGAACCAGATTTTGTAAATGAAATCAAACAAATGAAGATCTTTAGCTCAAAGAATAACAGTACACAGAGAGCTAGGAATATTACAATTAGGAGACCTGGTGCTAAGAAAAGTACCTCTACCAAGTTTTCTCCGGAATTTTTGGGATTTGAGACCAGTATATCTACTAAGGCTAAAGAAAAGTAAACATGGCTATAATTTTTAGAGAGAAAAACAACCTTCGTTCATTATCTCCAAGGAAAGGAAATATTTCACCTGTCATGCATGTCTCAAACCTTGTTAATTTGGTAATTCATATTTGGGATTAGGGATAACTGTTTATAGAATTTTAACAGGAACAAGAAACTAAAAATGTCAGGAAGAAAATAATGGAGGTAACCAAATGATAGAGAAGCTGAAAAGTTTATATACAATGAGATAACAATTTAACTAGCTCTAAGTCTTATTTAAATAATATTATCTTCCGTTTAAAGCCTTTGGGAAATAAAAACACAAATTAAAACGTTACACCTCATCAAATAGTCAAAATCCTCTCGCCCAAAACCATATGTAAAACCTCCCAAATTTCTTCACAAAACCCCTCTCCCTCTCAACAACCCCCATTCCCCCTTCTCCCACCCCATTCCCCTAACACCCCCTAGCATTCTCCCCTCAACCACCCAATCCACCCAAACCCATAAAATCCAGCACCCTCCACACCCACCACCCCTTACTCCACTCCACCACAAAGGTAACCCACTTAACTCCTAAATGTCCTACTAGTTGCTAACAATTATAAAGTACACTTTGCTGATATACATTTAGCCAAAAATTTAGAATTCTTGTCATTAACCTGTACTTTTATTTAAAAAAATCCAAGATTTGTTCATAACTGAAATTTATGAAATTTTTCTTTAAAATTTGAACATTTTCTAAATTTGGCAATAGGCACTTGACTCCAGTTATGACGCTATTGAAGAAAATAGGAAACTTCGGTGAGAAAATATGAAGCTCAAGAAAGAGCTGAAACAGATGAAGGAGGCCATGTTTGCTAAAGAACAAGAGTGGAAAAAAGAAGAAAGAAGGTTGACCATGGGTAGGCTTCAGAGAAGATTAACTTTCTAGACCAGTCAAAATACCATAAGGGCGTTAAATACCAGATTTATCTTAAATTTAAGGACCAAATAAAGTCTCTTAAGTCAAGATATAAAGAAGACGTTGATTCACTAAAAAGTAAGCTGCACAAAATTGAAACAGAATCGAAGAATAAATACGATACAATGAAGGTGGAATATGTAGGAAAGATAAACGGCCTGTATAGCTTAGTCTCTGAAAAGTCAGACATTATCACTGATCTCGAGAGTAAGATCGAAGACTACAAGAGCAGCATTAACGATCTGAAGGAGTCCGAAAATGACAAGGACAACTATACACTTGTGACTGTCAACAATGCGCTACGGATTAACCTAAAGAGAGCTGAGAATGAGATCAGAGGTTTAAACCAAAAGCTTGATGAACTCTCTAAGGCTCCTTGAAGTCCTACTTTGGTAAAAGTTCAAGGCAAGGTAGAGCGAAGGTAGAGAAAGACATGAACAGGATCTCTGATTGGCTTAAGGATAACTTAATGAGCTTTAAAATGAGTTTTGTAGGAATTTAAGGTATTCAATACTGACCTTAGTTAGAGGGGTTTTGGGGTTTTGGGGTTTTGGGGTTTTGGGG